CTAATAAGAAGAGGGAGAGAGTCATGAGTGAAACAGGAACAGAGTTGCCAAAACAAGAGAAGAAACGGCCAAAAGCCTCCCAGCAACCAGAGGAGCTGGAAGCACCGAAGCAGTTTACCCCCTTTGATTACAGCAAGTCCAACTTCAAAGTATTTGCGGGTAAGATCAGGATCTCTTGCTACGGTGCTGCAGGCTGTGGAAAGTGTTGCCAGCTGAGCCCTGAGAAGGCTGTGTGTGAATGTAGATGCCAAGGCAGTACAAACTGTTACAATGCACTTACCTTACAGTGGGGAAGTACTAAAAGAAATTAACTTGGGGAATGTACAGTTTAGCATCCCTTTTCCGAAACAAAATCCTGAAACCATTGGCCATGGGGATTGTGGATTTGGATTTTGCTTCTTTTCTCCGTAGAGAAAGTCATCTGTTTAATTGGACCCGAGGAACTAGGAGGCAAAGTAGATTTTACTCCTTTGTAACAACTATCTATTCAAAAGTATCTCCTGCCCTTAAGAGACTGTTCTGGTTTTTAGCATGTGGGAGACTGCAGTGAAACCTCCTTATCATCAGAGGAACACTGTGGAATGTACTGTTCTTCATGGAAAATTTTAGTGACAGCTTCTCTCCTCTCTCCCTTAGGAAGCAGCAAATCGAAGCAGTCGCCACAATTTGATCCTGCCAAGCAAGCTTACACAGGCAAGGTACAGGCATGTCATGAAGGAAGGAACAGAAACATTGGTGATAGCATGTACCCAGCTGGGGAGTCGCTGGGGAAGGCAGATGACTTTTTTCAGGATCTGCAGAATGTTCCCTAACAGCAGTCGGTACTGAGGTGCAGTTTCCAATCACAAGCTCATACTTGGTACTATAGCCTCTTTCCATTCAGGAAGAGCTTCCTTGGGGCACCTCGGCCTCTCTTGTTTCCCACCTCTTTATACATTGTTCACAGCTACGCCTCCATACATCACAGGCGCAACACTTAGACCACAGCACACCACCACAAATTCCCAATACCAGAAACAAGGCACTCTCAAAAATCTCAAAGTCAGTCTAGTTATTCCAGGCCATGTCAGGTCTGCTTGTTGCCCACATTCTCCACCAAGTACAATCATTAGGAAAACAGTCTCAGCTCAGAGCATTTTTACTTAATTTATTGCTAACCGAGATTGAGAGATTGAAGAAAAGAAAGAAAACATAAACAATCAGTCACATACTTAGGGAAACCTGTGACCAGCACAGGGCAGTTCCTGTGTCGTCGCCCCCCACCTCAGGTCACCCCTGCAAATCTGGGTTACCTAAAACCCACCACGTGTACCCTGCATAGTGCTCATGGAGCGTTTGGATGCTGATGTGTGACGTCAGTGGGCATTCAGGCATGAAGTAATAGGTTGCCCATCCATGAACTCATGGGGCGCTTGAGTGTTAATTTTAGGTTCTGAAGCTCATTTCTCTTGTTTCCTGTGCATGCTGCTTTCCTGCGTATTTAACTGGAGGGCAAATGGTACCAGGGATCATCTTAGATATTCATTAAAAATCATATTTTAGAAGCTAACAAGTTTATGCCTGATAGTGTAGGAAACAGTTTCCTGTGCAATCCCTTTGCTATGTCAGTTGAAACTTGTTTCAGGAGGAAAAAAAAGAAACCGGTCAGTGAATTTGGGACAACCTGTACAGATCTTTCTGTCTAGATGGGTAAGATTTGTCATCAGTGGGGTATTGTGCCTCACATGTCAAGGTTAGACCAGCTCAGATGGATTCAGCGCAAGTGCATGTAAAGAAGTCGAAAACATAAAGCTCACGGTGTAAATGAGCAGTGTTCCTTTAAGTTGGAGGGACCTGACAGCACACGAATCTCATGGAATATACTGTTTGGCAGGTACCTCACTGTGGTGATGGTGGTGTGGTTTTTTTTTTTTCCCCTGCAGAAATTTGCTGGAGCTAACAAACTTCAACAATCTGGAAACCGAAGCATGTCCTACCTGTCGGGGAAAGCTGATAGGTGTGTTGTCAGCCTGCTCTCTCATCGCAGTGGTGGAGTGTTTTCACGCCTGTGCCCTGGAGCTATGGGCAAAGCATAGCTATTGTCCTCTATAGCTGTGGGAGCTTAAGCACATGTTTAATGGGAAGAGGTTGCGTCACAGCTTGACGTCAGTTTAAAGGGGGGGGAAAAAAAACCTTAGTCAGTATTAATGCAATCAAAGACAATTCTGGGTGGAAGGCTTGAAATGCTGAGGTAAAAGTTTGTGTTAATAGATGTGGGAGTCACTTTCTTTGGCCACAAAGATAGGTGGAGGTGGGGAGAACATTTGCCTAGCTTGGGAGGAAGATAAATAACAGTACTGGCAAATATGAACATTCTTGTTCTGAATAGATACTTAACATATAGCTTACGAGGCTTGATCCTTGTGTATTATTTAGTCATAAAAGAGCAACACTATGTGAGGGCAGCACTGGAGGTCGAAAGGTTCTGTTTGCATCATGACCCTTTCTCAATAGAATCATTGTAACCTATTGTAGGTTTTCAATCTTGAGTTAATTTAGAGCAAGAGTTAAAGTCTTTCTGTAACTGTCTTTTGCAGGGGTTCCAGGCACCACTGGCCAAAGAGATAGTCCTTGTTACAGGACCTGTGGGAGTTGCTGCTGAACAAAACAATAGTCAGAAGTATTGTCGCCATGGGAAGGCAAATACCGGTCATTGGCCATTTTTTGTACAGAAATGTTTTTAAAACCATTAAAATCCTTTTTTTCCAAAAGGAAAAACATCTTAATTTATGTCACTTTTATTATATTCGCATTGGGTTTTTTCTAATTATACTCACAATGTTGCTTTGTTTGTAATTTTGACAATTTGTCCTGTGTCCTCAAACACAGTTAGGCTAAACTTCTCACTTCTTGGAGTTGCTTGAAGTCCAGAACCAGCATGTCAGTGAAGTACAAGAGGAATCTCTTGGCATGTCTAAAGCCAGCACAAAAATAATAGGTTCAGTAGATGTGACTGAAACCCCAGCAGTCCAGAGGAGGAAATAAGGCTGGACTGTGTTTTCTGTTAGATCTTGCTTACAAATTGAACTGCAGAGCTCATCTCTTACAAGACAAGGTAATGTGAAAAATTATGTCTTTACCTGGCAGCGCTTGTGTATCTTTAAGCAAAGATTTTATTTTAGGGGGAAAAAAAAGAGGGTACTTTTTGGATCAGAGACCAGTGGTTTCACCGTAAGTTACAGAGTGAAAGCAATAGCATTAGGTAGAAGGTAAAAACACAGTGCAGCATTGGGTTGGGGAAAGCCAGTGAGGTTCTGTGCTGCAACTGAATCTCAGTACAGCTATACTAACATGTCAAAGTTTTAAATACCTGCAGTGAGTTATCCTGAAGTCTCTGTAGAAAGGGTATCAGCCCATAATGTGATGGATGGATGGCAGAGCTTATTCTAAATGCTGACAGCTGAAGGCTGGTAATGCTGCTGTGAAAGAGGTAAGCAACATTACAGTTTAATAGTTGGGAGTACTGAAGGGTAGGGCTGAGGTGACTTTGCTTAAAGCCACATTAAATCAGTGGCAGAGCTGCTTCCTGGATTACTGGTCACTGTGCTGACCAGTAGATCTTGCTCCCTTTCCCAGAGGCCTTGTCTTTACTCTGTGATTTCCTTTTCTGACTAAGGATTTTCCATTCCACGCTCACCTGTTTTGGCAGTGACAGAATTTACTTCTCTGACTGTTAGGCTAGGTGCAAGGACTGAGTGGGTAGTGGTAAAAACTTCCCTCTCCGTTCCTAACCTGAGGGCTTTATTATACAAAGACTGTGAGGAGGTTTGGGATTTTGTTTGTTTGTTTGTTTTCAATCTTTTCCCATATTTCTGGCACGTAGGGAGTGGAAGGAACAGAGGAGGGTTTTTCCTCCTTAGGTATCATAGTGTGAACAGTGCCAACTGAGCGGCATTGTAATGGTGGAACAGAGTCCCTTTCTGCTCATAAAATCTGCTTGCATGGCTGATTATTGGAGAATGTTTTTGAAAAGAGGCAGTTAAGTAGCAATTGTCTCTAAGTGCATTTGCAGGGGCTGCCAATTCCCCTTCTTGTCAGCTTTGCCACTTGTGGTATTTCTGTAAGGAGTAGGTCTCACCAAAAGCCCCACTGGCTGCAGAGATATTAAAATTTCCGTAGTTTCTTTAAATCCTCTATGTGAAATTCCATGCAAGGTGACATTTCAAGGATGATCTGAATTTTAAACTTTTTCTGTTTGCCCGTTACGAGTTGCGGTTTAACTGCCCTAGGTTTTAAAAATGTCTTCAGTGGAAGTGACTAGCAAACCCATGCTTGGTTTATTCACCTGGATACACCTATAAATCAGACGAAGTTGTAGCACTAGAATCCCATAATCTAAGACTATTTTGCAACCGTGGAGCAGTTTGTTCGAGATCTTCGCATAACCCGGCTGGAGAGCTGCTCTTGGTGAGTTCCTCCCAGGGTCTGCCCCCCGCACCACGCACCGCGTTTTGTAACGCTTCCCGGTGCACGCCGGGGCACACGAACGCTAGAAGGGAATCTGCTTTTACAACGTCTAACCCTTAAAACCTCCAAATTATACTTTTTTTTTTTTTTTGCCCCCCTCCCCGAGCGTTGTTAGTCACTCGCGCTTCTGCGGCCAGCGGAGCTTTGCCTTTGTAGCGCGGAGGGGCCGCGGGGAAGCCGGCCGCCCCCTGCCCGGGCCGGGCGCGTAGTCACGGCAGCCCTCGCGTGGGGAGGGGGCGGGGGGACGGACGGACGGACGGACGCGCCCTTCCACCGCCGG